AGTTATGTACCACTCCACACATGCTTCACCCGATAATGGGTTATTGGGGTCGTCACGTACACAAAAACATAGCATATGCCCAAGCCTGAATATGATTTTGTAACTGTAATCAGAAAGCCTGAGATATGTTTCTTCCCTTTGCTTTTAACTCTCATTTGGTATCTTAAACTTGATTTGTATTTCAAATTACTACTTGTTACTCTAAAATCTGTTGAGATTGACGAAAAGATCTCAATCGACAAACAATTTTCATGCGATTGTTTATGAGAGGTTTCAAATGCTTTATTTCAAGACTTTCTTGGATGAAAACAATGAATAAACACAATGTAGGGAACTAATAAAAGAACAAATTCTTTATTAATCCAATCGAAGGACAACCTTGAATATAGTAGTAACTAATTTTTAAAACTAACTTAAAACGACTTTTAAATATATCTAAATCGTGGGTCTTATACGGGTGTATCTTATATTCTCCACTATATGCCCTTTTATAATCATTGTCCTCGAAGGTTTTGCTTTCATCAACGGTTATTGAATAATAACCTCTAGTTAGTTATTTTTTTTTAAATATGGATGTGATAGATCATTTCTCATCTTTCTTCAGTTTCTACGACGTGACATCTTCTTANTAAGGTTTTGCTTTCATCAACGGTTATTGAATAATAACCTCTAGTTAGTTATTTTTTTTTAAATAGGGATGTGATAGATCATTTCTCATCTTTCTTCAGTTTCTACGACGTGACATCTTCTTAGTGCATCTATATTACCAAATGTCGATACATTGAATATTCATAAGATTTATTTATTTTATGTTGATCAAAGTCAGCTTTTTTGTTTTTAGTTTTTTGGAGTCTGCCCCTAATCTTTTACAAGATTGCAATTACATGATCTTTTAATAAACCTTCTCTCTCTTCTTAATTCTGTATCAGGTTGTGATCAAAAGCATGAAGAAGAAATGGACTCGGAAGCAATCTACAAGAATTTCATTCTTCGGGTTAGTCATGATACGAGATTTCTTCTTTCAATTGGTTTACTTTCAGTGTCAATTGGAACTCTTGACACCATTGATTTATGCAGGTAATGGCAGCAAGAAGTCCCAATATAAGACTTCGAAAAGCACTAAATAGAAAAGCTTCAGGGTATGTATGTACAGAGAGACTTCGTAGATCAACACGTTCATGTAATTGGGTTTTCTCTGAAACCTGTTAAATTTATCTTGCAGTTCGAACATAAAATGTCCTCTTTCTGCCCCCCCGAAATCTTCCAAGTCTAGAGTATCGAAATTGGCAGTGGTTTCATCGCTTTCTCAGAAGATGGGTGATGACAAAGCCAATGTTATGCCTCTTACAAAGCTGAGTGCTACCCCAAAGGCCAAGTCAAAGCAAGTTGCTGCCAAGTACTTGACTACTCCAAGGAACAAAAAGTGTCCACCAAATCCAAACTCCTTTAAAAGTGTTCAGAACCCAAAACCAACAACAACAATAGCAGTACCAAAAAGCCGTATAGTTGCAAAGGCTCTAGTCTTTCACTCTCCTAAGAAAGCCATCATCGTGAAAACTTCAGTAGAATTGCGTACTCCGTTAACGAAGATTTGTGCAGGAATGAAGAGGCTCGAGATAACGAGTCAAAGAAAGCGTATCTTGGGGTATGCTAACAAATCATCGAAGGACGTTAAATGCAATCCTAAGAAGGCATTGGCTGTAGATAATTCAAGAAATGGTACAATTGCTTGCAAGGACAAAAGCAGGGCTAAAGATTTGTTACACCCTCGGAATTTTAAAGACCAAGAAGCCAAATCTTCGAGATCTATGAAGAGTAAGAGCAGAGGGAACGTAAACAAACAGTGTTGCCGCCCTACATCTAAGGAAGTGATTGAAAACGACAACAGTGGTATAAAAATTGATGTAAAAATGAGGGAGAATGAAGAGCATCTGATAGCTGAGGATTCATCAGGAAATTTCGGTTCAACAAGTTCCTCTACTCAAGAAGAAGCCATTCTATCCTCAGAGCCCGAGGTGCCACCATCAACTAAGAGTACACAGGTGGGATTGTCAGATGCCCTGAGATGTGGAATGAATTCCCCATCAAACAATGAAGAAAGGGATTTGGAAATAAATGATTTTCCGAATATTCTTGCTCTAAATGGAGAGGGAGATGATGGAAANTCTGAGATGTGGAATGAATTCCCCATCAAACAATGAAGAAAGGGATTCGGAAATAAATGATTTTCCGAATATTCTTGCTCTAAATGGAGAGGGAGATGATGGAAATGATAGAATTGCACAGGAAGGTAGCATAAAATCAAGCTCAAAGAAAGAGGAAAGACCTATAGATCAGCCAACTGAACATCAAACTTCAGAAGGTGAAGACCACGAGGGTGAAACAATGGACAGTGATGATAAAGAAANAATGATAGAATTGCACAGGAAGGTAGCATAAAATCAAGCTCAAAGAAAGAGGAAAGACCTATAGATCAGCCAACTGAACATCAAACTTCAGAAGGTGAAGACCACGAGGGTGAAACAATGGACAGTGATGATAAAGAAAATGCTTTGGCTTCTGATGGCTACAGGTATGATGCCAGTCAATCTTACATATTGTATTCCCGTGACTACGCTTCTTATTATCAGATCTTTATATCAGCACAACTTTTTTGCCCTTCCTGAGACTTTTTTTCTGCCTCGGCTCACTTATTTGCTGGTCACGAAAGCTCCTCTTTGTGGGAGAACTATTACTTCTCTTTGTAATTGTTTTCCTTATTTTGCAGAGATCTTAACCATAAAAACCAGCCGTATGGAAGAAAAATCTTTGGCAGGCAGGAGACACATGAAAACAGGAAAAAGGTTCCTTCCATTTTTGCCTCTTGTTTCAGAGTTGCTGCAATATACATATAGTTGCTTGCCTATACAGTATCTGATAGCCATATATTATTGAAATTGATGTAGGTTACTCAAACACTTGATAAGAATTTAAAAGATGGGCTCCCTTCTGCTGCTACTGGTGCTTTTGGGATAAAGTACAGAAAACCAAAGCCTACAAGCCCCAAGCCTTTTAGGCTAAGAACTCAAGTAAGCATGGTTTTTTTTCACATTAACTTGCATATTAGAAACAGTATAATTGGAGTTGTATCTGATAGAATCTAGGATTTTTCAGGAAAGAGGGATTCTAAAGGAAACCAACCTGGAGAGAAAAATCCATTTTCTAGCTCCTCAGAAGGAATCAGCAACAGTTACAAGGTTCAAATGTGAGAACTCACACAAAAGGCCTGATAATGGTATCCAAGTGAGTATAACTAGTATTTAACATTAGATTTTGAGAAAATTTCATATCCTCGTCTGATTTATTGCTTTTGCTGACGGAGAAATGACCAATGCTCTGAACAGAGTAACCGCAACAGTGATTTGCTTGAAGGCAGAGAAAAAGAATCAGAAAAGAATTTCCAAAAGAGTGAACTTGTAGGTTTTCCGTAAATTAACTCTTTTCCTAAAGGTCCCATCTGTTCATATTAATCGAAGGTTCAAAATATTAATTCTTATAATTTGCAGAAACAGAGTAAAACAGCAAGCATTTGTTCACGAGGGCAAGTGAGACCCAAAGCAGCCACATTAACCCCACAAAGGCGTTTGAAATCAACAAACCAAGAACCCAAATGTATGATCACCCCACCTGGATATGATAAGGTTTGTGTAAGCCAAAAATCAGAGAATAGCTCAAGAAAGACAGAATCACCTTCTCTGCAGCGACAACTTGTTAGGCAACAAGGGTGAGTACTACTCCTGCTCGTTAATTACCTTGTCTGTGACTAATGAAGAATGTTCTTTCGAGATTAACTGTATGTAGATTCATTTATTGCAGTTCCACTAGGAAGGAAACATCTTCTTGCATAACACCATGTCAGAAACTTGGTGTAATAAGGGAAACATCATCAAAACTCTCAAGAGCCAATGAAGCAGAAAAACTGGGGGAGAGTGAAACCACCACAGCAACCAAAGGTACAGCTTCTGCTTCAAGATCATCATCACGGGGAAGACGACCTGTGACCATTCCTAAGGGACCAAATTTTCACGGTACCCATGTGCCAAAGAGTTGCATAGGGAAAATAGTGTAGGTGAATTGTTTTCATACTTGCCCAGTTTGGAGTGTATTGTTTTCATACTTTCCCAGTTTGGAGTGTAATACCCTTCTTGTTCAATTGTGTATTGAATTATGTATGCTAATGAGGAGCTCTTTTGATTTTGATTTTGATTTTGACTTTTTATGTTTCAAATGATCAACGTTTGCAGAGGGGTACTTGTATGTACTATAGATTCAGTATCAGATCATGGTAGCATGGCCCAATTTTCATCTTTCTTGCCCAATGATGGAAGGAGGAGAAATAGATGCAAGTAGTAGAGAAAGTCGAGGTCCTTACTTGAGTTTTCTGCCTAACAGGAGCAACAAGCATCAAGCATCAAGCAACGAGCAACTTCTCTCCCAAGGGAGAGAAACCATAAAACAGAAAATAAAAATAAAAAAAGCTATAAAATAAGGTAATTCAATTAGCTCAACTCACCTTTGTCACCGTGCAAGACAAAACACCTGAGATTCACAAGTCTATCACGCAATTTGCTCATCTTTTGTCGTGGTCAATACAAGAACTACACAGCTTCTTATCTGAACCCTTGCTAGGAAACAAGCTAACCATAGACCATACTATATGCTTTTCCTGCAATATACTTTTAAGTCTGGCAGCCCAAAATGATTATTAAAAGCCTCATCCAAGGGATGCATTCACCCATCCACTGAAAATGATACAATTGAAGCAAGCAGAGTAATTCATGGTTTTAACACATTCAACAATGGCCACAGAGATCTCATTTCTCTAAGAAAGTTCAAAATTATTGAGTCAAATTCCATGAGACATCAAAACTGCATCAAAAATAACCCTGCACTATGTGATCATTGTCTCTGCTCCCACGCGGGAAAATTTGTGCCATGAAATGCACTTAATTATATGAGGGCTAATTTCTGTTGATAATATTTTTCATCTTCTCATTTGCAGCTACAAGTTCTGCTCCTATTCCTGGTTCGTTAGCAGAATGTCCTGCATCTGGAACCACCTGTTCCACAGCAGAATTATAATGATAAATCAGCAAGTCCTAGGCATTGATATATTAGGCAACACAAGTTATTTAAGTATTTCCCTTACCTTAAAATCCGCCTGTGGCCAAGCTTTATGAAGATCCCATGCTGACATCATGGGGCAGCAAACGTCATATCTTCCCTGCAATAATTCAAGGCAGTTACCATTCAAAATCAGATATCAAACCTGAACTGTTCAGAAAGTTTTAGGAACATGCAGCTGCATACATGACGGTAGCACATATGATATGAATTTTAATTCGAGTGGGATGACAAATCCTAACAGAACAGTTAAAAAGTAGAACATGCAACAACACATATATGGTTGTGTGAGAATTATAATCAAAATACTGGCATATGCTGCAGCCCAATCTTTTTTACCATTGCACTGTGCAACAGTCCACTCAAACATTTTTGCAACTATTCGACATGATTAATACAAAAAACAAGTGGGACTAAAGGACATATATGAATATATCTTCTTTATCTCCACCAACCCACAAATTGACGGCATTCCATTATTTCTGTAAAAGAATGTTGTTCCCAATAAATGCAGGTCAGCTGCCAATCGAGTTAATCAAATGGAGAGGTGCCAAAAGTCGAAGGAAAAAAACCAAATAATCATAACATCTATACATTAATCCAAAAATACATCTTTACAAACCATATGTTTGTAAAGCGCTAGTCAGTAATATAGTGGAGACAGGCACAACAGTTACCTGTACAATTACAGCATTTATATGCCTGATCTTTTCAATGTTATCTAACAGGTATGAATCCGAAGGAAAGAATCCCTTGTTTACAAAGTAGTGGTTCTCAATCCTCGCAAATGCCTGGATGGAGCAAAATAGCTATATGTCATGGCAAGAAGCTAAGATCAATCATCTCAAACAATCGGAAAAAATCAAAGCTAGAAGACACTACAAACATCTGCCTGATTGTAAATTGAAGGTGGTTCAAAACTTCAAGGTAAACTCAATGTACAGATAGCCATGTCAACTTCACATCTAGCAAAGGAAATACAAGGAACTAAGACCAGTTGCATGCTCTTTATTTGATTTGTCTATATATTGTGTATATTCAGCACCATCTTGTGTATTAAGACCAGTTGCATGCATCCTCTTTGTACATTACCATCTGAAAGTGCACAAATGAGCTCAAACTTTTCCATCTACACTCGAGAAGGAGTGGTATGGATGTTTGACTGTGGTGTACCTGGAACCTTTGAATCAAGCAACTTTCCCAACATAGACAATCCATCTTACATGGCATCAAGAAACAATATTACTTTGCCTACGGCCCAACCAGGAGAAAAAGGCTATTTGAAGGACAATAAGGAAACGTACAGCAACTAACCTCTTGGAAACCTATTCACCACAGAAAGTAAGGGGATAAAATTGTTTTAAAAATCTAACAAATTTAGAAAGAAGATTTAACATAAAGGGCCCCACCAAATAAGAAATTAATAGCTTCTTTTGCATGGAAATGCTTTTCAGGACTGATAATCCCCCAATGCTCAAATTCTAATGATTGGATCTTTTCCAACATAGACCAATGTTTCATACTCAAATATTTTAATAAAGTTTGAATGCCATGAACAATTTTTCAGCCTTCACATTAAGAAAGATGTATAAGACCCCATCAACTGTCTCACTGTTTTTTAATTACAATCTATCAAGTATACATGCATCTAGGTAATGTCCTAGGTTATATACAAAGGTCTAGCAAACTTCATGGAAATAACAGTTCTCGAATTCCAACCTCACTATAATTACAATGCAACCATATCATCAATTATCAGAGTAACTAACCAGAGAAAAGTTGTCATCATCCCCTCTCTTTATGGTCTCCTCACTTGGAAGAAGATGAGCAGTCATCATTTCCCATTTGGTCCATGCCCTGGCAGCCGCAAACTAACAAAAAATAATGCGTTTAGAAAACACCTCAACTTGAGGCAAGATGATGAAAACGCAAATTCATGATCAATGAAGCCAAAAGCTGTGTTAGAGTAGTTTAGTCCTTTCCTTTCTTTAAAGAGTACTACAGTGCTGTAATCCATGTTTAGGACTCAAACTTGCTTTGATACCAAGAAAATATTGATAAAACAAAAAATAAGAGAGAATATATTACAGCTTCATTGATTTATCAAAACAAAATAAGCTAAACTGACTCCGACATCTCTTTCTTTCTTCCTTATTCTTTGTTTGATCAATATTTTCAACCATATTATTGTTTCTTCCAATATCAGACTCATCGGTTTAGTAGCATTNTTCTTCCTTATTCTTTATTTGATCAATATTTTCAACCATATTATTGTTTCTTCCGATATCAGACTCATCGGTTTAGTAGCATTTGGGGTATTTATAAGTAGATACAACCAATGATCTGAGTTGTGGAAAAAAATTCAACTCATAGAAAGACGAAGAACATGCAATTCATAATCAATCAAGCCAAAAGGACAATGTGCGTGAGGATATTATTGTTTCTTCCGAGATTACACCCATCATTTTAATGGCATTTGGGATATGTAAAAGTAGACAGCCCTTAATCCAAGAAAGTTCTTACCAACAATGTTTACAGATGATAAGTTGGCTATATTGTAGATTACGAGCACTGTCATTTCCTGTTGAAGTCAAGCAGCTTCTTATGCTTTAATTATTACTTTCTAAAAAGGCCTGGGTACACACATCTCATTCAATCACATACCAAATTAATCCAACAAAGTGACTCCAAAAACAATGATTCAGCCTACATCGGTAATACACATCTCTTGAACTCCGTTTTCCATTCAAATATATCTTTTCACTAGTAAAATTTAATCTGTACAGATGCAAGACGAAAAAACCAATCGATGAACATGCATCAAGACAATTATGCATTTATCAATTTATAAGACATGAGGAGAATCAAAATAATTGAACTACGAATTAATTTAAAACGTAAACAATACTCATTAAATGCAAAACATTGTGAACCAGGCATGAACTATCTTCATTTACCTGTATGCGGTTTCATACATAGAAAGTTGCTTTTGCAGCCAACATGAGTGTAGGGAATCACAATTTTCAATCACCAAAAGGAGCTCATAAAAGAAAAACATGCATCGAGGGCACAAATCTTACTTGTGTTTCATTGTCATCGGAGTTTAATCTCTTATGGTAGGCCTCGATAAAACATCCTCTTTCATTCTCTGGAATAAGATCCTTAAATAGCTCCCAAGCTGCAAATGGAGAAGAAATGTGCAATCTTTAGCCACCTTAAAAATCCTCAGGCTGTCCAATTAGCACAAAGGCAGCATATCAAATCGATAAATTAGAGGAACAAAAAACTATCCCAAGAACAACTGTCATATTCCCCACCCAGTAAGGTATGTTAGTGAGCAATTTGAAGTTTCTTCATTCATGTGGCTTTTAAACAATGAATATACGTAGTTTCACTGCCGTCATGCAAAAGGCAGTTAAAACTCGCCAAATACAGTGTAGTAGTGTAAAAACCACAGGAAAAAGATAAGAACATTTTCAAATGTATCACATATTAATGTCATAAAAAGAGGTAAGACAATCACAATGAATGCAAAGAGTTTGCTACACATAACAAATCAGTTTTTAAATATTTGGTAAGATTGCATTAACATGTTCTCACAACATGTGCTGAGACATTATTGTCATTCTATCATCTAAAAACTTTCCCAAGACATGTTCAGAAGAATGTTCAATGGCTTGAGTTACCCACATACAATAAACTCTACCAGGTGAGGCTTGTATGAATAATACAACCAGTTTATCCTAAAGCTTACCATCAGGGAATATGGCTGCAGCACCACCCTCATAAAACCAATCAATCTCTTTCTTCCGCAACAAAAAGATCCCTCTAAGCACAATTCCAGTAACCTTAAAATAACATCAGAAAACACATTTTCAACAATTGATGCCAATGGAAAGGTTTCTTACGCTAAAACCATAGGTTCTCCAATGGAAGGGCTTGAAGAAAAGGCAAAGGGGCAAAGTAAACAAAGAAGCACACCTTATCAGGATGTGATTGGCTGTATGCAAGAGCAAGTGTGCTTCCCCATGACCCACCAAACACCTGCATAATGAAGCTGATGAAAGCCAAATATAGAAACGTCCGCCATACCAGTCAAATATACAAAATTTCAACCTGCCATTCTGGAATTTCTAGGTGTCCTCTTAGCTTTTCAATGTCTTCAATTAGATCCCATGTTGTGTTCTCCAGCAAGCAAGCATGGGGTGTACTCTTACCAGCACCTCGCTGCAAAAAGACAATGTTTGTGTGAACACAATTTCAGCAGCTAATATTTTAGTCTTAAGCAAAATGGTTCGGATACAAAACCTGATCAAATAAAATGATCCGATAAAATTCAGGATCAAAGAATCTCCGATTACTTGGTGATGTTCCACCACCTGGACCCCCATGGAGAAAAACAACTGGCTGCATAGTTTAAAAAGATCTTCAAAAGCTGCATAGTTAGGCAAGACACGCATTCAAATAGTTCCTAATAAAATGCCTTGTGAATCTATACTACTAATAAAAGTACCTTAAGTGAAAAACTTTTGATTTACTATTTTACCCTTATAAAGAATTTTAAATACCACATTATCTTTTTATAGTTAAATATTTAAATTACAATCACAACCTTATGTATTTAAATTTTTAAATTCCCCTCTAACATCTATTTTAATTCTCTATTATCTTTGTATAAATACCAATATCTATGAAAATTTTTAATTCACTACGCAACNTCTTTAACATCTCTTTTAATTATCTATTATCTTTGTATAAATATCAATATCTTTGTATAAATATCAATATCTATGAAAATTTTTAATTCACTATGCAACCTTTAAAAAATATATATATCATTATAGTTTTCAATAACGTGTTCAAAAAGTCTATTAATAGATCATTACTTTTTTTAAATAAAAAAATAACATTATGTCTATATATATGTATGTTTTTTCTATCTATACTACTAATAAAAGTATTTAAAAATGAAAAACTTTTGATTTACTATTTTACTCTTATAAAGAATTTTAAATACCACATTATCTTTTCATAGTTAAATATCTAAATTACAATCACAACCTTATATATTTAAATTTTTAAATTCCCCTCTAACATCTATTTTAATTCTCTATTATCTTTGTATAAATATCAATATCTATGAAAAATTTTAATTCACTACGCAACCCTTAAAAAAATATATGCATCATTATAATTTTCAATAACGTGTTCAAAAAGTCTATCAACAGCTCATTACTTTTTTCAAATAAAAAAATAATTTTATGTCTATATATGTATTTTTTTTCTATTTATACTACTAATAAANATAACGTGTTCAAAAAGTCTATCAACAGCTCATTACTTTTTTCAAATAAAAAAATAATTTTATGTCTATATATGTATTTTTTTTCTATTTATACTACTAATAAAAGTATCTTAGAATGAAAAATTTTTGATTCACTATTTTACTCTTATAAAGAATTTTAAATACCACACTATCCATCCGTAGTTAAATATCTAAATTACTATCATATACTTATGTGTTTAAATCTCCAAATTANCAATAAAACATTTAAAATATCTTTAAAAGTTTTATCAATCTAACATTACTCATTTCAAATAAAAAAATAACATTATGCTTTTATATGTATATTTTTTTTTTTTATGTAAAATTTTAACCATTTCATTTTTAAGATAAAAAATAATCTTTTATGTAGTNTATTTTTTTTTTTTATGTAAAATTTTAACCATTTCATTTTTAAGATAAAAAATAATCTTTTATGTAGTTTTTAGAAAATAATTTATGTTAAATCAACATAATTCTTCAATCATAGTTGAAATGGTCTAAATGTTTACTTACTCAAGAAAACCAAAATGAATTAGGGGATTTGAGGTGTTTCAAATTAATTTTTGATATTTCAAGGTGTCTCAAGATTTTTTCAGTGTTTCAATGTATTTCATTATGTTTCAATAGAGTTTAAAAAAAACAATTATCCGTTTTCATTCTATTTTTAAAATATCAATCAATACATCAATCACCAAATGGAATTGAATGTTTCCATATTCCAGCTTCTTTCTCCGTTTCTCTGCTTAGCTCTGACAAAGTTGTGTGTGTGAAACCAATGAGCTACTTCAATAGGTATCAAAGGGTTGTTTATAACGTTTTACTTTGGATTTAATTGATTTCATTGGTTGATAATGTGTTTATGATGGTCATATCTTTTGAATTTTAATTTTCAATTCACTTATTTAAAACGACATTATATTAATTTGTGACTTGACTTCTATATTTGCAATTTTTGTAGTAGTGTAACGCCCCAAAATTCACCCTTAAAGACATTACTATCTACAAATCATCCAACCATGAGAGCAACTAAAAAAAATCATTAAGTAATAAACCGTTCATCAATTTGACAAGGAATAAATACTAAAGCCAATAAAATATTGAAACTTCTTCAACTTATAATTCAAAACCAAATATATCTAACAACGAAATAATTAAAACTAGCTGAAACATTGTTTAATAGAAGTCTTTCAAATAAAATAATCTAAACTAAGACGAAGCATCTATAAGCCTCCACTTTAGGATCCTCATACTGACCCCCTCCATTCTCGAGGTCTACTTGCTCATCTAATTCTGAATTCTCCTCAACACTATAATCTGAAAAATGTTATAGTAGGGTGAGCAATAAAGCCTAGTAGGAAAACCTACTCAAACTCAAACAAGGTTTATAAATCATGAAAACAAGTAAGTCACAATTTGTAAAATACTATATATAATTCTGAAGTAAAACAGTGACAGTTTATCAGATCTCAAGTTTACGGTATAAAACAGTAGAGTTCATAATAGATTAGAATCATTCACAAAAATCACAACTTATAACATAATATCTCATGTATGCAGGTAGACTACCGTGAATCTACACACCGAACCTATCTCGTCTACCCACCACACAAATCATCTCAAACCAATCCCCGCAGGGCCATAACAGTTACAATATTTTAGAAAGGGCGTGTACCGACGTATCAGCATTGACGTATCCTTTCCTAGGAATAGTATATAATCCCTCAGCCTTGAACTTACGTGAACAATAGTGGTTAGCTCTCGCAACAAACTAAACCCCCTACGAGTATTAGGCAACCACCAAACACCTTAAGATAGGAAAACATCTAACACTCTACGATATGCATTTGAGTGTAACCCACATTCATCACACCCATCAATGCAAGAGATAAAAATAACACTTTTCATAAAATTCAACTACAATCAAGAATCATTGATCCATAAAATTTTCAAAGGAATAATTCAACAAAAGATGCAAGAGATCCCACAGAAAATATATTTGAATTGATTGTAATCAAGAATTATGGTTTTGTAATAAAAAAAGAATAGACCTTGGAAATAAATCATGTATTTTGTTCAAGAAATGAATTATGGATTCAAACCAATGTACAAGCATTGTAAATTAATATTTATATCATAATAAGGATGAAAAATATATATTTTATAACCCTAATCATCAATGAGTGAATATGAGAAAGAACTCCTACCTTGATTCTGAAATCTTGATCCTAATATGTTTCGTTGCAATTACCTCAAGTTAATCCTTCAAGATTTATCCCATTCTTCTTCCTTTTCTTTTCGTCAAAATTGTTCAGGTTTTTTGGGGTTGAAAAATAGGTAAAGACTCTTTATATCACAGCCCCAGGGTATTTATAGATTGAAAAATAAAGAATTCCCGTATGGACGCGGGTAGAAGTCTGCCCCTAACTTCCAGCTTAGTTTTGACTTAGTTAAACGCCGATTCACAATATTTTCGTGAAATACAATTTTGTAGTTCTTGAAGTCTATTTTCTAAGGTAACAATTTTAGATCAATCAGAGATCAGGATAAAAATTTATATCCAAAATACGAAGGTTATGGCAAATTCCTTTTTTTCCCTAATCCTATCCAAAATAGGTTTTAACTTTAGAATACTCATAAACTTCTAATACAACTCATATAACCTCTTCTATTGTTTTTCGACATTCTGGATTTAATGGAAACCTTATTTTGATCTAAAAATATTTATAAAATTACTTAGTCACCCGTCTCAAACTTAAACAGCTCTAAAATTCAATTAATTTTGAAAGTCAAATACGCTTGAAACTTAAATTTCATAATTAATATTTTAACAATTATTCTAAGTTTCTATCATTATTTTATTCATCTTAGGAGAATTCTTAAGATAATATTATATTTATTTAATTTTAATACGGGATCTTACAAGTAGTGTATCTCCAAGATATACTTGGCCAGTGGCTATGTAATAACTCACAATGAACGATAATTTTGTTACTCTATGATGATGTNACGGGATCTCACAAGTAGTGTATCCCCAAGATATACTTGGCTAGTGGCAGTGTAATAACTCACAATGAACGATAATTTTGTTACTCCATGATGACATAACATTTTATAATTTTACCTTATCGCACATAGTGAGGTTGCGTAGCTCAGTTTTTTTTTGTGGGATAACTAAGGTATTTCTTTATTGTGTTTGAATGTCATTATTACTTCTCCTCTCAATCATTGAATTTGACTATCCATTTGGCCGAAGAGAAGATGAATAAGGTTCTCAAATTGTATTGCAAGATTAAATAGTGTTGCATGGTCCTTTGGGGTGGACATTATGAAAACCATGTATTGTTTTTTGTTTGAGATATATATATATATATATATAATCAAGCTTTGAGAAATTAAAACTAAGCTTTCTGAGAAAATATGATTGGGCAACAAAAGAAGAATCTGATAAGCTTTTACCAAGGGAAGTAGACAGCTAATTCTGACAGGTTTTGTGCCTTCTCTTCAGTTCATTAATCCCCTAGCTTTAGCTATTCTATGCGGAATTCGTCAATGCTTAATTGAGTTGTGAATTTTGGAAAAAAATAAGGTTCAAGTCTCTATTATACAATATTTTCATAGTCAAAATGGTCCACGTGGAAAGCATGTGTGCACCAACTAGTATTAGATAAAATTACGTATTATTCTAATATCATATTTAATCATATCTCTTGTTCATTTATATTATATGAGACTGTATTATTTTATCTAATTTATACATTTCTAATATGGCCACCAAACAAGCCGTTAGTGTCTTTTAGCAGATCATAGACATTAGGCAAGCCTAGTTGCCGCATCCAACCAGCCTGCAGCTGTGTTGTCTTTTGCAATGGATGCTTGGTAATGTCCAAGAGCATGTAGGGCGGTGCCACAAACTTTTGTCATTGCTTTGATGAAAGGCCAAGTAGAATTTGCATTCTGACTTTTTAGTTTTTCACCTTAATTGTATTTTGTTCCACTCTTAATTGGCCATCTTAGTCTTGAATTTATGGTTTCACCACCGTAATTGACATCAAGCTTTTTTCATGTAATTTGTGAAAAGAAAGAAGATCATGCTTTGGCATAATCGTTTCACAATACAATTTAACTCAATAAAATCTTGGTCTAACCATTTAAAATTCATTAGTCACATGGAATTTAACTTAAAATAAGAAGCGTTGAGTAATAGACAATCTGAAAAGAGTGATTTTCAAGCTACTGCACATGAAACTAATTGCGTTTAAGCTAATTGATCACCCTTGATTCTCTCAAGATTTTACAACCAAGAAGTGATCAAGACACCAATCATTGCTAAAAGTAAGGCTTTATCACTTATGTCCCCCTCTTATGAGTGCTTTCGCATATGCTTAGATTCAAAATTCAAAAATTATAATAGTTGATTCTTTGTTATTACAATAACCTATTAATTTTTTATTCAGAGAGTGCAGTTGTTACAAAGAAAGTGATCGAATAAGTAGGATGGATTAACAGATTGGATTCAAAGCAAAATTTATTACATCAAAATTCTAATCAGATTCAAAACCCTAGCTCGAGATTGATTCGAATACCCAATAATTTTTTTTATATTCCATATTTGAATCTCTGAATTTTGGAAGTCTCAGAAAAACAAGTTTTATCTGGTCCAATGAAGTCAATTAACATTCTCGCGTTCTATACTCAATCATACAAAATGGTAGTAATGTAGTATAAAATACTTAAGATTAAGTAATATACAAATAATTGTCCATAAAAATAGTAAAATCTACAAAAATAGAGAAATATCTTTTTTCGGACAAAGCAACAAAGGTTTAGTTTGGACCCCATGACTATTTTTTTTAATATAATTGAGGGTGCAATGATAGAATAGTAATCTTATTGGGTATAAACTGAGAATTCAATTATATTTTAGGGTGCAAAGTAATATTCACCCAACTCGATATAATATATTTGAATTTCGGATTGGACTATCGGTGTATTAATGCTTATACGACTTTTTGAACTCGAATTCAACCGATATAACTTGAAATCCGATTTATTAATAGACCAAATCTCTCTTATTATATCACAAGCATTAGGCAAGCCAAGTTGGCGCATCCAACCAGTCTGCTTGTGTTGTCCTTTTCAATGGATGCTAGGAATTGTCCAAACACATACAGGACGATGCCAACAAGAGTTTTGTGATTGCCTTGAATAGAGGCCAAGTAGAATTTGCATTTTGACCTTTTAATTTACTTCCCTAATTTTTGAGATATTACTCTATCGATTAACGTGGCATTTGGATCTCCTATTATATCTTGGTCCACTCTTGATTGGC